TTGTAATATTCTGAAAATCTTAATAAATATCTTATAAAAAAGAAAAAACCACCCCAAAAATGAGCTGCACTGAACTCTCTGTAGAAAATAAGAGGTTTAACCTTGCACTTACCTGAATATAAACCCTACTGAATTCAATATGATTTGCTTCTGAGAAGACATGGTTAGGATTGCACTTTAAGAGATTATATAAGGGGCATCTTCAAATATCTGAAGTGCTGTCACATATGGGGGTCTATGGGGACAAGGGGGGCAGTACCCCATCTCCATCCCCAATGAACCATAATCTCCTGATTCCAGCTTTCTTTCTTTCTTTTTCTTAAAAACAGTAGGTTTCTAACATTTGTAAAATCTAAAGTATGAGGCAAAATGCACAGGCATTATTATTCTCAATTTTTGGTAATAAACTAGGTACTTTTGGTGTTTTACTCCCCACTGGGAAATTTCCTGAGAATGCTGCTGCTTTCACAGATGTTGGCCTAACCCCCCACTACCTTGATAGCAAGAACAGTTTTGACTAAACATGAGTTCCTAATTTCCTTACCAGAAAAACTGTTGGTAAATAAGAGTTCTGACCCTGGAAAGTAAGAACATATATACATTCATGTATATGTTCAAATGGTTGGAGAACTTGTGGGTGACAGGATGTTGTTTGACTACAGTTCCCATAATGCCTGACCATTGGCCATAGTGCAGTGATTTGTTGATGGGATGGGAACCCAACAACATCTGGAAGGAAGCCCACCAGTTTCTCAGCAGATCCACCACTCTATGAAAGTAGAGATGTTTCATTTGTCAAGGTTCCCTCCCTAAGCAGAGTCTCTGTGCATACTTTTCTATGTGCATATGTTCTGAGTGACCTTCCAATGAATAGCTGTAGCTTAGAGCTGCAGCCAGCACATGTGTGACCTCACCATGTTCCCACATTCATGGAATATAGAATACAGAAGGAGCGTCTCCACCCCTATCATTTGGCTTCCAAGGGTCTTCTGCTGGTTCCCTCACTGCAAGAAGTGAGGTTATAGGGAACCAGGCAGAGGGCCTTCTCGGTAGTGGTGCCCACCCTGTGGAATGCCCTCCTTTCAGATGTCAAGGAAATTAACAACTATCTGACTTTTAGAAGACATCTTAAAGTAGCCCTGTTTAGGGAAGTTTTTAATGTTTGATGTTTTATCGTATTTTTAATATTCTGTTGGGAGCCGCACAGAATGGCTGGGGAAATCCAGCCAGATGGGCAGGGTATAAATAAATTATTGTTATACTGACCCATCTAGATTTATTTATTATTTTCATTGATGTATGTCATTTATATTCCACTTGTTCTCCAGGAAGCTCAAAGTGGCATACAAGGCCCTCTTCCTCTTCATTTTATCCTCACAACCCTGTAAGGTAGGTTAGGCTATGAGACTGTGAATGGCCCAAGATCACCCAAAGAGTTTCACGACTGAGAGGGAATTTGAACCCTGATCTCCCGGGTCCTAGTCCAACACTCTAACCACTATGCCACACTCACTCTCTGATAAATAATAGATAAGGGTGAGGAACCTCAGACCTGGGGGCTAAATGCAGCCCTCCAACACCCTTCATTTGGCTCTCGTGGGAGTGGGGGTGGGGTCTTCCCCAGACCTCACCCTCCTCAAGTGCTTTGGCCTGACTGGGCTATTGAACTGTGATAATGTATCCTGCATGCCAGGAAGGAGGATGAGCAGGTCTGTGTGTGTGTGTGTGTGTGTGTGTGTGTGTGTGTGTGTGTAGATACTTTTGCATGGTGCAATAGTCATGCATTGTTATGTTGACCCACCACTAACTTATGACTGAGAAGTAGGGAGGGAGGAAGAAACTGTCCATTTTGGTTCTCATTTTTCTAAGCTTAAAATTCATCTCAAATTCTGTTCAAAACATTTCTGTAGCAGCTTGTGATAATTTTTCTTTGTTCTGTTTTTCTTTAAAAAAAAAACCTAGTGAAATTAATAAGCATTTTAGTGCCAATTTCTCCAAAATAACCACATTTTTATACATAGTGTGGACTAAGGTACCTATTATTGTAAGCAATTCTCCCTATTACAATGCACTTGTGTGTGTGTGTGTGTGTGTGTGTGTGTGTGTGTGTGTGTTATTTTCACTATCATCCTCATTTTTATCCACTCTCTTAACAGACACATTTTGGTAAACATTGTTGGGAGAAATGCATCACAAAATTCAGGTAAGTGTGAATTTCAAAGGATGGCTGTGTTTTGGTTTGCATATTGTTTTGGTAAGTGGAAATTTGATAGATTTCGCTTCAAATGTGTACTAAATTGAATTTCTCCCCCATCCTTACCTGGGACCTTTTGCATGCAAAACACATGCTATCCTGCTGAGTTATGGCTCTCATCTCCATGAATTTTACTGAGCAAACAAGCTTCTTACTGCAGCTATGCCAAATGAACAGAGCACATGCGCCCAATTGCCTGACCAGCAGATAATCACGAAATATAGTTTAACCGTCATATAATCACAAAGCAAGTTGAGGCTTCAGCAACAGCTGTGGCTTGCACATCCTATCACTGGATGGGGGAATCGGGGATGTGAGTGGCATTTGGAAAACATTAGCTGAGAGAGCAAGTTTAAAGTGAGGGTGGGGGGTGGGAATAAAAAGCAGAGACTTTCCTTCAATGAAAAATTTCATACAGCTCACAGATTGAACGCACCTGTGTCGAGGCAGCAGCAAACTGCAGGGATTTAAGAGCCTCCGACTCCTCATTGATATGGAAAGGTCAGCACGGGGTCAACCTCTGCTTTCCTAGAAGTCTCTAAATCCATTTTCCCAGGATGTATCTCAACAGCTCCAGAGGGATCATTAAAAGAAATCCACCAGCTCCATCACAGAGGTGCTTTAGGTTCTCTCCCTAGGACTGAATTCGTGTTCAAACAGTCTGTAGTCTGGGGCATTTTATGTTGCCACTAGACACATCTCAGACAACAATAGGCCATGGTTCAAACACACAGTGAGGAACCAATACAAATACACACACACACACACAAGTCCCTTTCCTTCAGTGAAACCAAACTCTGGCTTGATTCCAGCATTTTTTTTTAGGGTTCCGCTCATCATTCTTATTTTTTCCATCATTCTTTGGTAGTGTTTGTGTATGTGGAGGGGGGTGCCCATTCTTTAATGAGAGCGTATCAAGCAGGAAATTAAACAGACTGGTTTTCCCATATCAAAAAATTCAGGTTTCTCTCAGTTTCTCATTTCTATAATCTTAAATTCGCTTCCCCACATTTCCACATTTGTTTGTATTTCTTTTCTTTTCTTTATAAAGTCCTCATGAAAATTCGCCAGCATTTCAGTGCAAGCTGTTCCTAATGTATGCATTTTTGTGTACCATGTTGCCTAATACTGCAAAGCATTATTATCACTAATATATGCATTTATACACATTTAAACCTAGTCTGTGCATTTTTGTTGCGTGGAGAACTGCGTTGCAGAGCAGCGCACGGAAATGCCGTTTACCTTCCCACTGGAGCGGTACCTATTTATCTACTTGCACTTTGACGTGCTTTCGAACTGCTAGGTTGGCAGGAGCAGGGACCGAGCAATAGGAGCTCACCCCATCGTGGGGATTCAAACCGCCAACCTTCTGATTGGCAAATCCTAGGCTCTGTGGTTTAACCCACAGAGCCACCCGCGTCCCATGTTAGTTTTTAATGGCAAAAATGTAGTTTCAGTGCATCAGAGCAGAGGTCTATCCACATGGGAATGACAAACAGATTAGGCATGCATTATTGAGTAATTTTACACATTTTGCCAGCATAAATAGTCCTCATGAAATCTGAAGACAAATAGGCAAAAAGAAAAAGCAAACACTCAGCATCTGGGGATATGATTATATCTGCTGTAGTTTGGCCTACAACTGGTGTCCCCTCACCCAGTCAGCAAAATTGCCCCAGAACTTTTCACCTTATAAATATATCTTACAGGGGCACCAACTATAGTGGGCAGAAGGGACTTCAGCCACCTCAATATTTGTGGGGAGGGGGCCAAGCCTGCCTAATATTGAGGAGAACCTGGCCTCCCACCTACAAACATGCCTTTGATGCTCCCCATCCTCCACCGCCGATGGGCGACTGCTCACATGCCAGGTAGGGGCAGAGCGTGTGGAGGATGATTTTTAATCTCCATGCTCTCTAGCTCCTGCCACCAGCAGGGTGCAATGGAGATCTTGGGGGGGGGGGGTGCTGGTTCATGTCCCCGCTCGATTGCATTATTCATTCATTCTTTCTTTCAAAATTTATACATTGCCCTATACACAGAGGTCTCAAGGCGGTTCACAAACATGACCACAACATATTAAATCAAACCAAAAACAATAACCCAATCATTCCCCCCCCAAAGAACCACATTCTAAAAGGATGTTGGATGTCAATAAGATCAACTAAATGCCTGGGTAAAGAGGAATGTTTTGCCTGGTGCCTAAAGGTGTACAATGAAGGCACCAGGCAAACTTCCCTGGGGAGAGCATTCCATAGATGGGGAGCCACTGCAGAGAAGGCCCGTTCTCGTGTTGCCACCCTCCAGACCTCTCAAGGAGGCGGCCCACGAAGGAGGGCCTTGGAAGATGATCTCAGGCTCCAGGTAGGTTCATATGGAAAGAAGCAGTCCTTGAGGTATTGCTGTCCTAAGCTGTTTAAGGCTTTATAGGTAAAAACCAGCACTTTGAATTGGGCCCGGAAACTAATTGGTAGCCAGTGCAGTCAGACCAGGATTGGTGTAATAGGCTCAAACTGTCTTGCTCCGGTGAGCAACCTGGCCACTAAATTCTGCACCAGCTGAAGTTTCCAAACTGTCTTCAGAGGCATGCTGGGGCAATGGCCCCCCTGGCACCCAGCACATGACTTCGTGTATATGACGCCATGTGACACCAACCCCCCTCAATGTGGGGGACAAGTTGGTGCACCTGCTATCTTATGCTGAGTCAGACTATTGGTCCATCCAGCTCAGTATCTTTTACAATGATTGGCAACAGGTCTTCAGGATTTCAGATGAGAGTAAACCTGGGCACTTCTACATGCAAAGCAGACAGTCTACCACTGAGCTACTGCCCTTCATCTCCCAGGTTGACAAAGGTAGGGAAGACATTTCAGTTAATTAACATGATATGCTCTCTTGGCAGGAACTCTAACAGTTCTCTCCCTCCACCCAAATTATTGACTTTGGATTTGGTTTCAGCAGCAGAATAAACTAATAATAATAATAATAATAATAATAATAATGATAATAATTTGTATACCGCTCTTCATCAGCAAATCTCAGAGCAGTTTTCAAGACAAAAACACAAGGTTATAAACACAAAATACTCTCCCTCCCCAACCCCTCCTTTGGCTTTTAATCATCTTCATTGAGGATAAGGCTATCCATCTCTACCAGCCATGAAGGCTCTGCTGTGTTCTACAATCAGAGGCAGCAATGCTCCTCATTAGCAGCTGCTGGAAACCACAGGAGAGAAGAGTACTCTTGAGCTCAGGTCTTGCTTGCAGGTTTTCTAGAGACTTTTGGTTGGCAACCGTGAGAACAGGATACTGGACTCACTGAACCAATGGCCTGATCCAGCAGACTCTTATCTTCTTAAAGGAAGAAAATATTAAGCATTTCACCTTCTCCAACACTGAAAGCTAAGGGAAGAAGAGACAGAGATTCAGCAAAGTTGCCAACCTTGCATTTCTCCATAGCCTGATGGTGAGAATAGAGTGGTGAGGTAGCTGAATCTCTGGAGAGTTCTGGATGCTTCCCCTTTCCCCATCCTCGAGCCTTTAAATCTTATTTATCAGAGTGTTGAATGGGCAACTGGCCCAAGATGGAGATGCACATACTGTTGAGCTAGCAAAATGCCAGGTGGATCATCATAATATTAATTAAGGGCAACCGTATTTCAAAGGAAACTAATGCCAAGTTCATATTGTGAGCTGGAAAAGAGAATGCTATTTTCCACAAATACACACCCCAAGTGCCTTTACATTTCCTGTGACTCAGAATGATATTTTCTCTGAGTTATAGTGATTCTGATTTCACTCAAGTGTCCCCAGAAGACCACCACTAGTATAATTCATGCAAAGCCCTGTTAACCTACAGAATTCATTGACACAAGACATTATACTGACTGCTAGCCTAAATGGTTTTAGAAACAGACAAATAATAGTGACAACATTCACAGTTACAGTTTTCAAAATAAATACCTGTTCTTCTCAAAATGATCTGACAGCATTGCAAAAGGAGTACTGATCCTTTTAAAAATTCTCATATCAGAAACCACACTGGTGCCCTTTCATCCTGGTAGCTAAAATGCTTCCAAAGAGAACCTGAGAAACATAGTTCTCCAGGATTTCTATTGTAAATGACAGGTACCCTGGACACCTGATGAGAGGCTCCATTTCAGAACTGGACTTGAATATAATCTGATACCTTTTTTATAATTTTAAATAGTGAGTTCACTCATTATTAATTCATAGCTATTGGCTGTATTTCCTCCATCTTCAGAGCATCAAAACATAATTATAATATCTTCCTTTGGCAAAAATTCCTGCATTACAGGGGGTTGGACTAGATGGCCATTGGGGTACCTTCACACTCTAAAATTCCTTGTTTTTAGTGGAGATGTGCCTTGGAAAGAAGATGATGGCTTTTTTAGCCTCTGTGACAAACACCTCTCCTCCCACCCTGCCATTTGGTTAAGATATTTGGTTAAACTATTGTGGGAATTCACTCCCACAAGGTATAGTGATGTCCTTTCTTTCTTTCTTTTTCTTTCATTTATACTCCATCCTTCCTCCCCAAAACCCAAGGTGGGATACATTTGATCCCCACAACCACTAGGTTAAGCTGAGAGGCAGTTATTGGCCCATCATCACCCAATGAGTTTCATGGCTAAGTGGATCCCAGCACCTCTCCACGAATCTCCCTCCCTCCCTCTCCATAAACTGGTTCTGTCACTACATAGACTTGCTTGTATGCAATATTGTCTAATATACACATACCATTGTCTAATATACACATACACATACCGTTTCCATGAATAAATGCTTTTAAGGACACTTTAGCCAAATGTTTGCATTTTGTACACAACACTCGGCCGAAAAACTGCCTTACAAAATCTGGAGAACTGTGAATTTCGAAGGATGTTTGTGTTTCAGTTTGCGTATCATTCGGAAAGTGAGAATCAGGTAGGTTCACCGTTAAATCTGTTGAATCCTTATCCTTGGATGAATGAGTCCAGCTGGGATAGTCTGATCATCATAAGCTGAATGATGGAGTGCCCACTGGCTTCTTCTTTCCTTTCTGGCAGCAGTTCAGTGCTGTTGTTATTGTGGAGTTCTGCTCCTCTGTCTTGAAATAATGTTTTGTCATTACCGCCACCTATTTGACCCTATGTCCTCAGTCACTGTCCTTCATCTTCTCAGTTGTCTTGTCGGAGGCATCCCAAATTCCTTGGAAACTATTAATAGCATTGATGTAAGACACACACTCCGGCAGCGGATACATTCTCAGGGAAGACTAAACATTATTGAAAGGTTACTCCATTCATTTTGATTGTGTGCCTGTCTAAGCCATTTCAAGAAATGTTGCCTTTAATGGCATGGGGATCTAGCCAAGGTGGGCAACCTCAGTCCTATCTGATTCTCAGGACTCTCTGCAGGCCACATTCCTCACTAGCCCTGGTTATGGCTTCCTGTAATCATTGCTGAAGCAATTAATTGCCACTTGAGTAGTCTCTCTAAATTGTGTAAATGTCTTTCCACGGTCCCAAGTTTCTGTTCCCATGGCAGGGGGAAGAATCGTTTCACTAATAATTTCCTTCCCTTAAAAAAAAAAAAAAAAAAAAACTTCAATAGGAAAATAGTGGTATTTCAGTAAAAAAATAAAAGTGTGGGGGGAGTAATTAAAACCACAGGAATAGGAACTGACAATGGGGCAATCACTATTCAAGGGGCAAATAATATCCCACGGACTATCCTCCTCCCATTCTCATCAGGAAGCAATAAAATGGGCTGATTGTACATGGAATAAATGTTTAATTACAGTTGCTGGAAATCCAGCTCAATGGGACTTTCTTGTAAGTAAATAGTAGAGGACAACCTTATGAACATAGGAAGCTGCCTTATATTAAGCCAGATCATTGGTCCATTTAGCTCAGTGTCTGGGTGCAACGCTTTAGGGTTTCGGGCAGGTGATATTCTCAGCCATACTTAGGGATTGAACCTGGGACCTTCTACATGCAGAGCAAATGCTCTACCACTGAACTAAAAATCAGACCAGGGGGCAGGGGTGATGGTGGCAGGGCTGGCTCTACCAGTATCCTTTCTGAGACTGTCTCTTCAAGCGGCACTCGGGGGGGGGTTGGCATATATTCATCAGGTGTTGCACCTGCCCCCCTGCTTACTTCCTGCTCCTGGCTGCAACACCTCCTCTCTGGGACAGTCCCCCCCCCCCAGGAATGCAGGAAATCAAGTAAGCTGGCACTTAACAAACTACAATTCCCAAGGGGTGCCATTTCCTGGTTTGCCTCGAATGTATTGGGTTGGATCTGGGTGGCGGCTATCATTAAAGGCAGTGGCAAATGCATTTGTTTATCCTCTCTCTTTACTGTAATGTTCTCAGTCACTTTCAACAGCCAAGAATAGCCATAGCAGTGTGGCCATCATGCCATTCCCTAATGCTTTATTACAGGGACTGGGGACCTGTGGCCCTCCAGATGTTGCTGGACTACACTTCCCATCATCCCTAACCATTTGCTATGCTGGCTGGTGACTGATGGGAGCTGGAGTCCCACAATACCTGGAAGGATGCAGGTTGTCTACCCCACCTGGAGGCCAATATTCTTTAACTCTTTCAGACCTAAGCAACCAGCATCGTTTCCCAGTGAGCAAATCAAAACTTCCCAGTGAGCAAATTCACAACAGAAGTGCTGTGCTTTCCATACATATAAAATAATTATATTTATATAGTTTTAAGTACTAAAACGCCCTTTCTTCCACACATGGCTATCTATTTCTGGACATTTTAACTTTTTATTAAATATAAATTGCAACTTCCTAGTTGACTAGCCAATGCAAATGTTTTGCATTCCACAAATGCTTGGCCTCCAATTCCCCCCTTCCACAACAACCCTGCCAAGTAGGTTAAGCTGAGAGATAACAACTGAAGATCCCAACCCTACACAGACACTTCTGATGCACATTGTTGAATGCTTCTCTCTGCTGCCTGGTTCATTTCTTCTGCAACAGATTCTCTACTGGCTTCTGAAGCTTGGAATCTATAATGGCCTAGAATCATAGAATTGGAAGGGACCTCAAGGGTCATCTAGTCCAACCTCCTGCAATGCAAGAGTCACATCTAAAGAATCCCTAACAGATGGCCAAGTGAAGGAGAGTCCACCACTGTCAGGCTTCAGGGAATTGGCTCCCTACCCCCCCCCCCTTGGCATTAGATAAGCAAAACAAAGGAAAAGGAGTATTCTTACCAGTTAGAAACTTTAATGATCACAGCGAGAGAACAAAGAGTCAATTACCTAGGAATGGCAGTGCTCCCAATTAAGAGTTCCACCCCTTTACCTTCCTAGTCACCAGTGTCACTAGTGTGTATTGTAACCTGATCTGGTACCCTCTGTGCTTTCTGTTCTGAGACCTTCTGAGCTCTTCTTGAACTTGGGCTGAGCGGAGGAATGTTATCCAGAGACAGTGAATCTGTTAACCCTATCTCTCCCAGTGTTTCTTCTCCTAGCTGTTACCCATCCAGTATTTCCCAGCTTCTGCCTTCTGACCTATGTCCCTCTGCAAACCACCCTTCCAAATCTATACTGTCCTCCTGCTCCTGGGAAGATTCAAGATCCTGATCAGGAGCAGGGGGAAGGAGAAGGGGAGGCTCCCACCACTCCTCCTCCAAGCAGCCCACCCCAGCACGGTCCCTGACAACCACCTAATGTCAGAAGGTTTTCCTAATGTTTAGTCCAAATCTCATTTCTTGTATTTTGAATCTGTTAGTTGGGTCCTACTCTCTGGAGCAGCAGAATACAAGTTTGTTCCACCTTCCGTGTGACAGCCTTTCAGATAATTAAAGATGGTGCTCATATTTCCTCTAAGTCTTACACTGAGTCAGAAGTGGTTTACCTAGCTCAGGATTGCCTACATTGACTTGCAACAGCTCTCCAGGGTTTCAGGAAGGGTTTCCCAAGTCCTACCTGGGGATCTTGGAGATTGAACCTTGGACCTTTTGCTTACAAAGCCTGTGCTCTACCACTGAGCCATGGTGCTTGGTCTTTCATCTCCTGGTACATGAATTTATCAAGTGCTCCACAGCCAAAATGCAATGTCTAGGTACATGGGGCAGGGCTGAAAGAAAAAGCTCCAGGACACAGGTAAATTAAACACATCCATAAGAAGATATCCTCAACACCTAAAGGGTATTTGTGATCATCCAAATTTCCTTGACAGACTTTTACTGGACTACAACCCCCATCATTCCTGACCATTAGTCATGTTTGTTAGGGTGGTTGAGCACTGGACTCCCAACAAAATTTTGGAGGACCACAGATTTTCCATCTTTAGTGTAGACAATATTGGGCTAAATAGACAAACACCTTGGCTTGTCATTTGGTGCTTCCTCTGCCCAAGCTTCCTCCACCCCTATAGACTAGGGATGGGGATCTGTGGCCTTCCAGATATTGCTGAGTGACAACTCCCAGCATTCCTGATCAATGGCTTTGCCTGAGATTGATGGGGCTTTCAGGTCAGCAACATCCAGAAGGCACAGGTTCCCCCATCAGCTGTGTGCACTTTCCAAGAGAGAAAAATGGAACCAGCCTCACCACCTCATAACCCAAGTGGGGCTCAGAAGGTTTGTGGACACCAGGGGAAGACCTCAAGGTTTGCATTGTGTCCACAGGCAACACATTGGTGGGCCCTGATCTGGATCTGGAACTACCTGCCCTCACAGTGCACACAAAAAATATGAAAAACTGCCTCCCTCCCTCAGTTCCTAGCCCATGATCTATAGCAGAAATGCTCCCAGGATTTGTTGTCAGACAGCTCCAAGACCCATTCAGAGGCCATGTGGGTGACCCTTTGAGTTTCACCTTCCTGTATCCATTCTGACCATCTCACCACATCCCATACTGTGTGCAGTATGATGAAGAATCCAGAGCCCTTGGTGGCGCCCCTTGATACCCATCTGTTTTTCTGAGGCAGCTTTCCTGAACTCTCCTGCAAGTTATTAGAGAGCTTTGGACGTCCAGCAAGCAGTGTGTGTGTGTGTGTGTGTGTGTGTGTGTGTGTGTGTGTGTCAATTCCAAAGTAAACGGTTTTGCCTCAAGAAACATGCAACATAGTAAAGTAATTTGACTTGAGCTTATGTGAATCTTTGGGGCTTTGAGTTGTTTTTGATCTGGTCCCAGAAGTGGGAGTCTGGTTTCAGTATCTTGTTTTTGTTTTGTTTTTCCTCTGTGTGCTTTCTGGGATTTGCTCACCATGGAGGCTTGGATTCCTGCGCCTGACAAGTTCTGCTTTATGCTACTTGCTTTGCCACCTGCATAGCTGGAGTCAGATTTGAAAAAGCCAGCTTTTTTCTTTTTTTTCTTTTTTTCCCTCTTTTCATGAACCGTTGAGGGGGAAAAGAGAGAAAGAGGCACAACAAGACCAAGCTTCTTGGTTGGAGCATGACTGTCCTGGCTATCCCGGGGCCCCAACTTCTCCAGAGCATGCCAGCTTTCTGTTCACAACCTGTTTGTCTAATATCACCCTCCCTTAGGACAGCCCTGTTTTGTTTAATTAAACCCTTTCCCCTCCTGATCTCAACTCCTTTCTCTGAATGTAGTAGCAGTAGTAATACTGTGTGTGTGTGTGTGTGTGTGTGTGTGTCATTTGTACACCACTTTTCAGCCAAAAAGGCTTCCAGAGTGGCTTGGATACAACAAATTAAAATAATATGCAGGTTTGCAATCTTAAAGGACGCGGGTAGCGCTGTGGGTTAAACCACAGAGCCTAGGACTTGCCAATCAGAAGGTCGGCGGTTCGAATCCCTGCAACGGGGTGAGCTCCCGTTGCTCGGTCCCTGCTCCTGCCAACCTAGCAGTTCGAAAGCACGTCAAAGTGCAAGTAGATAAATAGGTACCGCTCCGGCGGGAAGGTAAATGGCATTTCCGTGCGCTGCTCTGACACACCAGAAGCGGCTTAGTCATGCTGGCCACATGACCCGGAAGCTGTACGCCAGCTAACTTGGCCAATAAAGCGAGATGAGTGCTGCAATCCCAGAGTCGGTCACAACTGGACCTAATGGTCAGGGATCTCTTTGCCTTTACCTTGCAATCTTAAACAAACAAAATGTGGCACACAAGGAGAATGGGACATGGAATGGCTGCTGTTGTTGCTGCTACCAGGTGACAGTTGAGGGGTTGGAGGTGCCTGATAAGAGCTGGCCTTTCATCACATCTCTCTCTCTCTCTCTCTCTCTCTCTCTCTCTCTGTATCTATATCCCTTTTATGGTTCATAGTTCTGCAATGGAGGAGGCTGCTTTGCATGCAGAAGGTCTGATGTTCCATTCCTGATATTGCCAGCTAAAGCAAGGGTGAGGAACCCTAAGCCTCTTTATCTGCACTCCATCTCTCTCTCTCTCAAGCCACACCCCTCAGTGATCCTCCTTCATAACTCTTTGGGTGTATCTCGCCTGGCTGGAACGCATCCTTGAAATGTGTCAATGGCCTCTGGCTTGCTTGGATGTGCTTGTCCAATATTCAAGGGGAGTTATTTCCAGTGTGTGTTTGTGTGCATGTAGTGAGTGGTGTGTGCATGTATGTAGAAACTTCTGGGTTTTGTGTGGCTGGAATGTAGCCACCTGCACAGATAAGACTTGCATCCATTGCCCTGCACAATTTTGCCGTTGACTTTGCTGGCAAACAGCCCCAGAAGGTTTTCCATGAGGGGACATGGACCCTGGGTCCCCACCCCTTAAGCTGAAGACTGTTAAATCTTTGGTGGTTAAAAGATGCTGTTCCTGGCAGCCTTGAAATGATTAGCTGTGAGTAGTGGTGGAGGAGAAATTCTATTCGTTGCTCATTTAAAGACAAATCTATAAAACCCTCACTTTCTGAAATAAGCAAACCAAAATACAGCTAGCTTTTAAAATCCACACTCATCCAAATTTTGCAGTGCAATTCTCCAACTAACTAATGTTTACAAAAATGCACATGTTAAAAAGAAGTGTGTATAAAAATGGAAGAATGAGGGAAAATAACTAACAAAAATGCATTACATTATGA